AGCGCTATTGACCAATCACATCTGGCGTTAAATCTTAGATGCAATGTTTAGCGAATTTAGTGGACGACTTAAACTACATCACTTGCATGACAGGATATCGGATCTGCAAAACACGACTTACACGATTCTTAAATGACCGCGATGGTATTTTTATTAAAGAGTGATTATTGCTGAATGATCCCAGACGTTATTTCACTAACTGCAAGGTATTTTATTGAAAACATGAGTCATTTCCGAGATCGACCCTGTGTAAATTCGGGTTGACGTTGTTTCCCTTTTTGTATACGTATAGTGATTACGTAAAATCAAATACAGTATGTTACCGGCCCCTGTGCATTGAGTAGTGACAAAATGATGAAATTAAATGTTAAATTTACAACTATTACCATTAACTAAGCTTATATTGCAAAAAATGATCAAATTTCATTTCTACTAAAAATTTGTTTTGTTTGGCCTTCCTGATTGCTTGCATATCAATCGATGACGTAACCGTCGAAATTAGGACCCGGTAATGGCGGCGCCCATTGTTTACATGTCACTTTTGAACTCATCACCAATAGAAGTAGATAAGACGAATTGGATAAATCTTTACGCAGGAAAGAATACAATTTGAATGATGAATTTACCGCTCAATTTATTTCAATGGATTTTTGTTTACATAAAATAAAATATATCAGCACATTGAAAGACCGTCGAAATATGGGCACACGAGGGTAACATTTTACTTCAACTGCTACACAATCTGTTTCTACTTTCACTTGCATATCGAGATCGTGTACATGTATAATATGTTAGCATAACTATTGACAAAAGGAAAACAAATTTACATGAAAAATTGGTAATGCTTGATCGGTATGGTTTTTTATTTATCATAAACAAATCTAAATTTTCTTATTTGAACACCAACACTTATTTGAAGACCTGTACTTGTTGATAGTAATGCTGCGCTATACATAAAGTTTATTTCCTTCTCTGTTACCTTAATGAAATGATTTTAACACCATTACCTAGGCCAAAAGTCTTCAAAAAATATATCTGAGAGCACTTACCTTTTTCCAACACCAAAAGAATCAGATTCTGACTTCTACTGCAGCAGTGACGTCAAATGTGACGTAAACTTTTATCCGATATTAACCAAAACCGGTCCGGACTAAACCAAATCAAAACGGTTTAAAATGTACAATACATTTTTGTTTCTACCTGATAAATTTAGCTTAAAAAAGTAAAATACAATGTATATTGTGAAGATTTGAAGACGGTGGGGGTGAAGGTGCAGAGTAACAGAGTAGACATCCTTCCTTTTTATAGTGTCTACATGAAATGAGCATCTACATTCTTGTAAATAAGTATATACTCACCGTCAATGGAAACGCAACACCCTAATTTTAGAATGAAAATTATATACAGGTTATAACTATGTACCAAAAAAGTTAGGACATCTTTTACTTTGCCAAATCAGTAATTTAACGCTTGAATGAATTTCTTTCCATTACCGGAAGTTGCTTTTAAGCCCTCTTAACAGAATTCAAAATTTTCCATTTTTTATAAAATTTTAACAATATTTTGTGTTTCCAAGGTTTTGAAACTGGTAGTCATAAGTATTGTACTAAAAGGCCGGGAAAAAATCCTTTCTTTACAGATGTGCTGCCTATATTTCCTCAAAATGACTGATAGCAAGAAGGGGGGATGTTTTATGAGTTATGTGTCACCTTCAAAAGTTTAATGATAACATCAAAAATGAATATATTTCAGTAAAAAGTAAATTTACAAAAAAATAATACTCCATTTAAACATTAAATGTTATTTTTAGACCTTAGAAAGAAACAAATACCCGTTAAATTTTAAAACATCCCCCCTTCCGACCATTTAATGAAAACGTACTAGTCCGCCATATACAACAAATGCAGCCCGAGTTCTACCATACATTAAGTTTATTAATGTCTTAATCTAAGCGAAATTAATATTCTTGGGCATTTTTAAATACATGTTTTTCAGATATTGCATTCGAATTTTCTCTAACCTTGCGTAGTGTAGCAACTTTTTGACTTCCGGTCAAGAAACTGCCATTTATGCTATTGAAAACACATGAACCTGATGGGTCGTTATATAGTGTATATTTGCATCTACAGCTCTTTTTTTCTTTATTTTGAGAATTTCTAGCATTAGCAATGAAAATCAGTCATTTTGAGGAAATATAGGCATCACATCTGGTAAAGAAAGAGGGATTTTTTCCCGGCCTTTTAGAACAATACTTATGATTAACAGTTTCAAAACCTTGGAAACCCAAAATATTGTTAAAATTTTATTAAAAATGGAAAACTTTGAATTCTGTTAAGAGGGCTTAAAAGCAACTTCCGGTAATGAAACGAAATTCATTCAAGCGTTAAATTACTGATTTGGCAAAGTAAAAGATGTCCTAACTTTTTTGGTACATAGTTATAACCTGTATATAATTTTCATCCTAAAATTAGGGTGTTGCGTTTCCATTGACGGTGAGTATATATATTCAAATTCATCTTGATATATGAATTTATTTTTTTTTTACTTGAAGTCCATTTGTTTAAAATTGACATAAAATAAATTTCGTGTAATTTATATTAGGCTTTAAAGCAAGCACAGGTCCAGGATTTCTTTCTTAGACCGGGGGAGGGGGGGGGGGGTCTACGAATAGAATATCAAGTCCAAAAAAATGTAATCCAGAAATTAATATGGATAACTGAACTTCGTCTATTACGAATTTAATCTATAAGAAGAAGGTATGGTTTTAGCTTTATTGTGCCCTAAAAATGTAATGACATCAAAAAGTTTTGAAAGTGGCTTAAATATTAGTTAAATAAATGACTCTGATAAATCAGGAAAGAATTTGGTATGAATGTTTACTATTCTGCAAATATGACGTCATTAATTTGAAGCATTTCTCTATTTTCAAGAGAAAAAGCCTCAAAATGGCACATTTCATGGGTGATTTTCCTTTAGAAAACAGTGTCCACAGCCGTCGCCCACGTTAATTTTTTGATATATTGTGCAAAATTCAGTAACAAATCACATATCTCAAGATCTTTGTGGGCTATGCCTGTGGACAATGTTATCTGAAAAAAAAATTCCATTGAAAATTGATGTCTTCTGCAACTTTGTAAGAAAATATGGGAAAATGTACACGTTTATGATGTCATAATTAGCATTTAAAAACACATGTGGAAAAAATGACTTGTATGATTTTTCTGCATTGAATTTCAATTATTAAAAAAGCAAGAGGTTTTAAATTTTACACCAGTTTCATTTTTTAGAAAATCACAGGGCAAAATTCGTATGGAAACCATACTTTCTTCTTTATCTAAAATGTAAGGAAACTCGCAGGAAAATTGAGCTGTTGAACATTTTCTGATGTTGGAGATGTTTTATTGTAAAAAGTATCAAATTCAAAACATACGTTAAACGTATGTTTGAAATAAACATATGTTGAACATACGTTAAACATATGTTAAACACATGGTTAGCACAAACATATGTTCAACATATGTTTTGAGTTGGCTATATGTTCAACATATGTTTTAAACATATGTTCAACATAGGTTTTTTAAACCTATATGTTAAACATACTGTGGAAAATTCATATGTTTAACGTATGATTAACTTATGTTCAACATATGGTTCTCAAAACATATGGTTAACATACGTTACAATTTTATCTGTGTATATGAATATGATGACAGTCTCCATGTTTTGCTCTGGGAAACCCAAAATATGTGCCGGATCAAAATATAAAATAAGAGGTACTCAATGCCAATATGACATCAAAATACTGTGAAAGTTTCATCAAATTTCATGCAGTGGTATGAGAGGATTATCGGATACGGGAATGTATTTACTCAACATATCATATAGTTAAAAATTTTGGCGCATCATAGTGATTCCTTCCTGTGCAACACATAAAAAACAAATGACTCTTGAATGATCAAAGAAATCATGTGATATTAATATATATAAGGCTTGTTCCAAAGGATAGAAGACGACGCAATGTTACTCACTAAAAAACTTAAATTAATTACAATATAATTTGTGACAATATTTGATTTGTTGATGTACATACTTTGATTTGATTTCATTAATTGAAATCTATCTATCATTACTTCATTTTAAAATCAACATGTTTTGTACCCGCGGAGCAGACTTAACGGCATTCCCTCCATTTATTCAACTAAACTTTTATTCCTGGGATAAAATGATATGTAGGCTACAACCTGTTTGCCTATATGGAATATACGCCACTGATAAACAATACAAATTAGGAGCAGAGCAAACATGTAACTCCAAAATATCAGAGGTCCAATTAGGTGCCATAAAAGAATGAACATCCCCTACAAACCAGTCACACCCACCCTGTGCTGCTTGTCATAATCAGGAAATGACGGGAAAATCCACCATCAATTCAGTGGACAATGGACTAACTATTAGTATGAAAAACGCCAGTCAGCATTTGCCTCTTTTTTAAAAGCATTAAATCATTTTTAGACGTTTGCTGTAAAAATCAAACTCAGGTAGCATGAAAAAAAATTAAAGTATTAAGAATTGTAAAAAGGAAAGAAAAATAAAATTACATTTAATTACAGTCAAGACACTACAAATGACCCATCAAGGTACTTAATATTACTGATTAGAATAACAGCCGTAAAACAATTGCTTTGTAGATTGCAACCATATAACTTTTTATCAATCCTGGTTTGATGAATGACAGTAACATTTGTCTGAATTATCCCTTGGAAAACCAATAGTCTGATCAACCAAAAAATGTCTACATATGATTTTTTAAAATCTGAAGCGACTTAAACTGAAAGTTAAAATGTAACAGAAAATGAAAAACACATAATACGAACCCTCTTTCTTGAAACACAAATACACATTATTTGAAAACTCTCCTCCATCACGAAACAATAAATTGCTGATTTTAATAATGTGCACTCAAAAACAAAGGTTGAAAATAAAATTTGAAAATTACTCACAAACAAATAAAGCCTTTAGGAAAAAGTCTTCTACACTAAATGATGTGCAGCGATATTCTAACAAATAAAACAAGCCAAGGTCTTTTTAAATACCTTCCTGCTAATTCAAAACCACGTGATATAAGCTTTATTGATGCTCAAAACGATAGAATAAATGGAATATTCTGGATGTTAAAAAGTGAGCATTACAGAATGTTGATCATAAAAAATTGTTTCAATTCTATCCACTTTCTAATTTTACACGTGTAATTTAAGGGTTCATATGATAATTAATAAGAAATACTTAATCTCGCTTAAATTTTACTTATTTATTAACTATAGTATTTTTTGTTGGTGGCAGGGGTAAGGAGTGGGTAGGGGCTTGTTTCATTCACTAAACAGAATATTGGTATTTATGTAAAAGCATGATTTCATTTACTATTATAAGCTTTTTGTTTAAGAGTAAGAAATTGGAATAGAGATTAATCTTCATTAGCACAGTTTGTGATAACGATTCTTAACATTGTTTATTTCAATTTTGCAGAGGTCGCTTGTTTTTTAAAGGAAGCGATTCTTTTACTGTGGAATAAAAAAATTCATAGATTTTAAAAAGAAAGTTTTACGGGGAATTCTTTTTACCTGTAAAACGTCATTTTATTGGGTAAAAATAATATATATTGTATAACTTGAGTTGACTTAGTTCCAGTGACACACGTCAAACACAAATCAATCCATTCAATCACTACTTGTGATATGAACTATTGTTGGAATTTTAAGAGAATAATTGTCTTTGTATTGTACTGAATGATTGAGAATTAAATATCATTAGGAATAAATTGAATAACAGTCCACGTTATTTTGGTATAACCTAGGTTTGAGTAGCTTACTCTTTTTTCATAAACTACGAAGTGTAAATTTCCCAAATCCAGGTTCAACTGAAACATCTGGGTTGCTATTTAATCAATTCCATAACGATGCTGGCTCTTGATATTTAAAGTTTTAAACTTTTTTTGTTAAGTATATTTTTTGTTTCTTCACATAAAGCGTAGTTAAAATCAAATAAAAAATGGAGTTCTTCTTTTGCTTTTTTTGGCCCTTCAGTACATTTAATATGATATTTGTGCACTGCAAATTGTTTATTCATAAGTAAATTACCATCCTTGATGCATTCTGTCTAATACAAGGGTTATCCGCAAAGTTCGTGGACAACCTTGATAATAACTGACAAACACTGATGAAATAACTGAAACTATTATTTTCATTTAATTCATGTTTCATTTCATTCATATGCAAGTTTTCATCACAAACAACGCATAAATAAGTATATTTTAATCAGATACATAAAAGACACACTCTTATACCCGGAGCACTAAAATGAAAATCCTTGACGTTACCCGACGTCAAAAGCTAATCACATTCAATTTTTCTCAACGTAGTCACCATTTAACTCAACACATCTCTTATGTCGCTTTAACTAGTCATCAAAAATATGCACCAACTGTTCTGGTTTCATACTGGAAATAATATTTAGCACTTCCTGTCTCAGCTCCTGCAAATCCTCAAACCTCTGTCCGCGTAAAAAAGACTTTATGTACGGAGATACGGCAAAGTCCATAGGAGCTAAATCCGGCCTGTAGGGAGGGTGCGGAAGACAGTCAAAACCAAGTAAATCGATCTCCAATTGAGTTGTCTGAGAGGTATGTGCTGGAGCATTATCTTGGTGAAGTATCACTTGATCTAGGTTGGCAGCTAGATACGGGCGTTTCTTTCTAAGTGCGTGTACCAAATCTCTCCTCGGGACCTAACAGAAAATGTTCACATAACTAATAATTCTGTACTAGCAATTCAAATAGCATTATTCCTAGAAAGTGAAATGATATGTAAAAATCATGAAAATCATAAAATGAAATACACTAAATATTTCAAAAAAAATAAAATGTTGATATCAATTTAAATATATAGAAATACCCTAGTATTGATTATTATTTAAAATGTTTTATATTTGAAATTAATGTTTTAGTTTAATTACCTCACAATAGAAATCAGAATTTACAGTCTGGCCATGTGGTACAGCGTGTGTAAGAATCACCCCCCCCCCCCCCCCCCCCCCCCTCCGATCCATAAAAAGAATGAACATATTCTTTCCAAGGGATTTTGTAACTTTGGCTTTTTTCGGCGGAGGAGAGTTCGTATTTTTCCACTGACTGGACTGTTGCTTTGTTTCAGGATCATAGTAGTGGAACCAGCTCCCGTCGGTGGTAATAATTCTGTCCAGAAAACTTGTCAAGACTTTTTATAAAAAAAAATTAACCTAGGCGGCACAATTCTACTCTTTTCCCCAAATTTTCAGTTGTCAGAATTCTCGGCACCCATCGAGCACAAACACGACTCATATTCCGCAATTTCTCGAACTGTAAGTCGCCGATCACTGTCAATCACGTCACAAACTTCCTCTTTTACAGCATTACAATCTCGGAAAAGTGCTTTTCCTTCACGTGTGTCATCATGTAAGCTGTCCCTCCCGTCCGAAAATCTTTTATGCCACTTGAACACAAAAGAACGGCTCACTTTACAATGTTTTCAAGACTGTTAAAGGAATTTATGGGTCTCTGATGGCGTTTTCCCGATATCGACACAAAATTTAATCACTGTTCTTTGCTCCACCTTTTCCGGAAACGTCACTTTTTTGAACAAAGACGATCCTGTCTTACTAGCTTCTAATCTCGATTTTTCCACCATTTCGTAACTTTGAACGTTCAAATTTTGCAGATTTGACGCAAAAACTTTAGTTAACGTCATAATGCTAAATTCATCCAAATTTTCACGGAATTTTATTAAATACAAATGAAATATTTAAAGTGATTAAACAAAATTTAATAAAATATTTGTGGTGCTCCGGGTCACCATTCCAAGTCTAATAATGAGGTCATATTTGTTATTATATATTAAAAATTAATTTTTTTTTTTTTACATTTTTTTATTAACATATTGTAAAGGATAATAAATATGCTGATAATAAATATGTATGACGCAACTTTTATTAAAATATCAGCTTGTCCACGAACTTTACGGACAACCCTGGTATATTATCCTAATAAAGCAATGAGCATATTAGACTATAAGTCTATTTAAAAAAAAAAAGAAAAACTGTGTCTAATAAAAAAAAAGTATCAAACTACTTTACATAATCATTTAAGTGACCTTTCTACATTCACAAAATGTGATTTTTCTAACACTGGAAATAGGATTAGCAAGAAGAATATTTCAAAGTCTTAAACTATTGCTGAATTTAAGCAGAAAGGTTAGAATTATCTTAAAAATTAACATCAAAAAAGGGAGTGGGTATATGATGTAAAAAGTGTCAATTTAATCTAAAATAAGCTCAATTTTTTCCGGGTCTTTTACAAAAAATGTCATCTATTTGAAACACATTGCGGAGAAATTCATAAGAATTAATATATTAGATATTTCAGAACCAGCATAACACTTTTCACTGCAAAAAACAGATTTTTGTGCATCCAACATGGACAATGGGAATATAAAATTATTAGTAGTGTATATAGTTTAAAATCGAAATTTGATATTTTTTTCTAAACATCCTTCCACCACAGAATAAAGTTCCAAGCTTAATCCTACTGGTATCTAATTCATTCAATTTTTTTCATTGAATGTAGTTCAATTTGAATTGTAGAGTTAAGATAAAACGCAGGGGTAATAAGGAAGCATACAAAATATTCTACCTTGACTAGATCAGTGATATATTATGACGTCATAGTTAACAAAGTGACGTCAATTTTATAACACAAGGTTTCGTAATATTGGTATTTTCATATGTAATTTAACTCTAGAAAATGAAGTGATACGTGTAAACAATAACAAAACAAAATGTTTTTATTTTGTTATGCTGTATCTGTCATTTTGATTAAAATCTATCACCAATGACGTCATATGTGTACTTTAAGTAACTTGGGAATAGATCATGTCGTATAAAGAGAATTTGGCTAAGACGGCAAGTACAAAGATACGTAAAATGGGGTTTAAAAGGAAATAACGTGAATATTATGTGCAATTCATATGGATTTCAGTTAATTAAACAGGTATGTTAATTTATTTACATTAATTTTATGCTCTGTCGAAGACAGTCAGCTCTATACGTCTCCCAGTCGGCCTTTCCTCTGTTATTCGTGACAAAAATAATGCAACAGAACAACAATAAGCTTGATATTTCACATAAATAAAATTTGCACAGATGGAAAGTTTGCCTTCTGACTAACTTGGAAAGTGCTGTTAGAATCCGGAGTTAAGCGTGGTATTACGAAAAATCTCTGTTCATATGCATAAAATTCAAAACATAGGGTAAGGTTTCGTGCCAATGTGTGGAATAATTATTCTACTGAAAGGACAGTGGGATTCTAGCAGCAGTTTTTAGGCAAAATAGATGTTTTCCAACTATATTATTTACTCAAAGAAATTATTAAACTCCAGGGTATTGTTGTTCTGTTAGCTTTTTTATTAAGGATAATTTCGGTATAAATAGAAGTCACATGATGCCGTGGCGGTGGTGACCGTCTTTCCCTTAGACACTCTTTTATCTGTATGCAACAGTTAATAACAGTTTACCTTTATCAGCGGTTTTGGTAATTTATCAAACTTAATTTTCTTAAAAAAGTCTAAATTTCCCGAGAAATGACATACCTGCGAATGTTAAAACTTAAAAATGAAGCAGCATTTTAGAAATAATGGTCCTGACCAAAATCAGCATTAAAGCACAGGATCGATCCTTCTTAAATAATTTTGCCCAATTTCTTAAAAAACAAAAGGAATACTAACTTTTAAATCGTAGTTGATTAATTCCTGAAGGAAATTACACGTCATTCCTTATGGGAGGTATATGTAACAACGTATTCCAGGAGAATCGAACAGAGATAAACCGGATATGGAGAACAGCAGGAGAACACACGTTTGGAACAATACATTTCTTGAACTCTTATTTCTGTGTAAAATATGTTTACATTAATTTTCTAGGTTGACTGATCAAAACCAGTTGCAATGGGAAAAAAGTTAATGGA